ATTAATTATTTATCCTAATCAAATATGATCGGTGAATATATCTGCCAATATATACATAATTCTGGTAAAATTTGTAGTGCTTTATGTACACGTCCTGAAGGATGCCGTCTTCATTATAAGACAAAAAAACGTGTACTTTGTACTGATTGCGGAAAACCAACTGCTTCTGCTTGTGGACGATGTAAAATTCATAAAAGAGGATATTATGTTGCATCCTATTATCAAAGACTTCGTGATAAAGCTTTAGAGCGGAACTTATGCCAGAACGGAGTTTATTCTTCCAGAATAGGCATAGAAAAATAAACATCAAAAACGTGATTAAGCCCTAGAGCGGAGCTCATGCTAGAACGAAGTTCATTCTTCCAGAATAGGCATAGATTTTTGGTTAAATTGGTGTATTGCAGAGCAATGAGGCTTTGCCTCTACTTAAGACGAAGTCCATTTCTTTGAAATAAAAATTTTGCTACATTTGCACGATTATTTTTTTATTTATGCGGTATATAAAATGACAACAATGCAATTTACCACAATCGTCATTCGAGTGACGTGTATAAAAATACATCATAAAAATGTTAACTAAAGAGATAACTATGCTCCGCTACGCTACGCAACCGGAGTCGCTATGCTCCTCCGGAACAGAAAACGTTTTAGTAATCAATAAGGAAACTATGCTCCGCTACGCTTCACAGTCTGTTTCACATTCGCCTAAAGGTTTATCTTCACAGTTATAGAAAGCCGATTGCGAACTAAACAGATAACTATGCTTCGCATTCGGAGTCGCTATGCTCCTCCGAGACAGAAAACGATTTAGTATTCAAATAATATAGCGTTTTTTGGTTAAAAAAATCGATTTATATACTTTTTGTCCTAAAAAGCCTACATGCTCATTCGAAACAGAAAACGATTTAGTATTCAAATAATATAGCGCTTTTTGGTTAAAAAAATCGATTATATAATATATACCTTTATAAAAGTTATCGAGAAAGAGATAAAAAAGCTTATACTAAAGAAATAGACTAGAATTAACCAAAAAAAATCGATTTTTGTCCTAAAAAGCCCACAAATCTATTACTCTATGGAGCAGAGGTAAAGACGCCCTAGCATAGAGTTGATGTCAGTGTGGGGGGAGTGGGTTCATGTCCAAAAGCCCTTGTAGGAAAGGCATGGGAAAAGAGTCAGGAAAGCGATTCAATCATTTTCAATCACAGACCTGGGCTTTTGATTATTTTGGACTTGTTACAAAATTAGCACTCCAGGACCTTGTCAGGAACACTGATCTTTGGACAGGTTTCTCAAGTGGCAAAAATAGCTTCAGTCTCTTTGATTGGTGAAATGAAAAATGAAATCAGTGAAGGGAGTGGATGTCCATATATACAGGCTTGTGCCTCATATGCCAAACAAATTGGTGCCAACACAAACAGTGCAATACAAAAAGGTCTCAACCCAGCTTTTATCATTTACATAGCTGGCCCATACCTTGGTGTTGCAGGAGCAGTTTTTGGCAATGATTTTACAATGAAACCTCTCACTTCTATGTTGCCTCTTCTATATTTAAAGAATGCTCCAGAAATGATGATGGTTACTGTCCATACTTTAGCAGCATTAAAACTTGTTCTACAAACATACCAGACTCAGAAACTGTACATCGATTACTTTTTCTAAAGCATCATATGAATGTAGTAGTAGTAGTAGTAGTAGTAGATGTCAATGTATGTCATTATGTTGATAAACATTAACATGAGTCTGTCAAATATACTGTATATGATGGGAATGGAATACCAGTTAGGAAACGCATAATACATGCATAAGTTGATTTTGATTCTGTTTGATGTGATGACATGTAAATTCTAAATATCACGTATGTTTGCCCAGAAGTTTAGAAGGCAATTTATTTACCGTGTAATATTAATATATCAATCCTTATCACATGAGACCAAAAATTACTAGAAGCTTCGAAAAATCGCGAGATTTTGATTATTAATGAACGCCACAAGACTGTTATTGCTCGATTTGTAGAAGACCTAACAAGTTGGTTTAAAAAAATTGTCCTCCATACTGATACTTGTAGTTAAACCGTTTAAACCGAAAATGGCAGAAAGAGTTGATACTGGAATTTGCAGAGCCTTTCAGGTAAGAAAGTGAAGTTTATACAAAAAAAAATTGCTTGACCGAATTCAAAATATCATAATTGTTGTTAGGGAGAACAGGATAATTACGCCTTTCGGTCATACGGGAAAGAAGGCCCTAGTACTAGACATGTTTCGACCGATCTTGATCATTACGGTTTGGGATGCTCTGAGTCTTCTCTGGAATTACGCCCATCCGCCTTCAAGGAACACGACATTAGAAGAACAGATCGCATATGTTATGAGGAGTCTGGAACTGTTAGCCAAAAACATAATGATAATACAACCGAACGTACTCCCGCGTCCATCAACAGTGAACGTCACATGGTCGAAAAAACGAAAAGGGAAAATGATACGATGCATATTCGGCACATCAATCCGTTGTCAAGTACCCATGAACAAACAGTCGGCAGTGTCGAAAGATGTCCTAACCGAAGAAAATTGAAGAAATCCAGACATTGTTTGGGAAATTGCGCAGAATCGGTTCCCTGGGAGGCGATGCGTGGAAACCCACAATCCCACAAAAAACGTGTCGTTTTGTACACGCGTACTCTCGCCCTCCCCAAGAAAGTTCAACAAGCGTTCAATGTCAAAGAACTATGTCACAAGTGCCAGTATGTGAAACAAAAGATGTATCTTCATCGTGTTGCGACGATATGCTCATTTTAGTTGATGCCTTTGAAGACAAATCTCGTATTGCAACCTTCATTGATTACGAGGTTCTTAATGGTGATCTGAAAGAACTCATTTATTATGTAACATGTGTTGCTGAATTTGGCTTTGACCATATAATTATTGTTGGGGAAGCTGACTGTGGCATGATCTTCTTAGATTTGTCGAGCCAATACTCGGGGGAGAGCGGAACGAATATTGACCTTGGGATTTAGTCTTTTTCCAACGAGGTCCTTGA